GCTTACCCTAACCCTAATCCTTACCATAACACTTACCCTCACCATACCCCTTGCGCTAACACTAATCCTTAACCTAACCCTTACCCGAAACCTAAAGCTAACACTAACTCCTAACCCTTACCCTAACCATAACCCTAACCATAACCCTAATCGTCACCCCTAACCCTTACCCTAACACTAACCCCTAACCCTAACCCCTACCCCAACTCTTACCCTAACCCTTGCCCTTTAACCTAATCCTTTCCCTTACCCTTACCCTAGGACTTACCCTGACCCCAACCTCTAACCCTAACCATAAGCTTAATCCTAACCCTTAATCCGAATCGAGCTCGATTCACTGTCGCAAAGCTGGAAATGTGGGGTTTTATTCCGCCTCTACCAAGGAAAATCCTGCCGTTTCATGTTTATGTTCATCTTCTTTTCATCTGTACAAAAAACTTCGGGATACGTTTACCTGTGTATAGTGCTGGCATACTCCAAAGCACATATTTTCGTCGTAATTGTAATTTTCGATTTCTTTGTACCATATGTCCAGCACTTTGGTAATGGACTTCGTTTGGTTCGCCTCGGTGGCAACTCCGATGTTTTGACCAGACTTTTTATATTCAACATCGTCTTCCGGTGGGTGTTCATTTATGCACCTATCCACCCATTTTTGTGCCAAATATTCAAGATTCTCATCGTAAACCTAGTGGAAGGCGTTTAAAGTCAAACCTCGTTTGGTTTCAATAAAAACGCTATTTTACGCATATAATGTGCATACTGTAATATATATGTATGCAGGTATAAGTAAACTTTTAGATTTGACTTTTTAGGTGCAGGACATGTTAATTTTTCAAACTATATCTTATCGGTAAAGCCCACTTAACATATGCCATTTATATTATTTCAAACGTGTAATTTTCAGTACGCATACCGTCTGGTGTTATTTACCCTTGCTTCACATCTCAAAAATAAACAAATCCAAAATATCGTTCTACTTCCTTGTGCCCCTCTCCCAACAAAGTATTGTTTATTAAGTTGGTTTGGCAGATTTGGTTAACTTAGTTGACCCAAATGTGAAAAAAAAACCCGCGGCATTCGGCAAGAAACAGTTTCCCAAAGAATTCCCTCTACCGAAGTATAAGTATTTGTTATCTTCATATAAACTACATCAGCAGAAAAGACCATTCCGGGTAATGTGCACATACATTTGATAGCAAAATGAGCAAGAAATATTATTATGCAGCGAAACATGCGGCAGCGACTAAAATGCCTGCAGTGTGCGCCAGTGAAGATAAGCCTTACACGTTCATAGATCTTAATTGAAGGGAAAACTAAAATAAAATCCACAAGGTGTCTTATTGGTAGTAGGAAACCGGCCTTCATAGTCAGATAAGAAATTGAAGCTGTTAACTCACCATATCCTTCATGTTGGAAGCCGGCGGTCTGACACTGTGGCGTTTTTCATTGTGATAATTTAGGATGAGATCTCTCTGATCTTGCGTCAATAATTCGACTGAGACAGTATTTAGCAAAAAGAGTGCAGCCAATAACCAAATGCGATCCATGGATGGTTTTCCAAAACAACTAAAGCATTGGGAAATATCTCATTCATGAAAGAAATATCAGGCGTTTGTATACAGATATGAGGACACCTGCAGGACCCTTATCAGAAATGTGCAGGATATTTTGATGTTTTCGACGTATTTTGTAGTACCGCTGTTCGCTTATGTCCAGTTAAATCTCTTGCATTATTTAAATGTAGCACATTACCGTAGGCCTTTTGTTACTGTAATCAGTGCCTTTCCACTGACAAAAGTATTTCGTACTATGGGCACATACAAGCTTCTGTTGACTAATGATTTACGCTATATGTCACATTATATAAAAGGGAGTGAGCAGTTGCTATTAAAAAGAAACAAATAATTTATAAGCATTGACCAAGTGCTTACAACTTATTCGTAAAACTGTTCGCAAGCGTTCGCCTAAGCGGGTGGACTAATTCAAATTACAAGCGGCACTATGCACATATGCCACGAGAGCTAGTTGACCACAATCTCACGTGAACAGAAATGACGCCAACAGCATGTTTACTGAAGTTCCTAGGTAATTTTACCTATCTGACACACCTGAGATATATTGGCAATTCAACAATACATCGCATATGTTTGATTTAATAATAATATACTTTAATTAAACTGATATTAAGCAAGTTCATAAATAGATTTTTGTGAAATGGAATCATTACTTGCAAAACTGTAACATTACTAAAGTTTTAATGCACCTTCCAACGTTGCAAGTATTGTTGCTCGGCCGCTCTACAGCTGTCTACTCTAGCCAGATATATATGGAAAAAATGTAATTAAGTACCCACTTGGAGTTCTTGGACCAACTACCAATCACTTTTAAGATACATGTTTTCACACGCAACAAGGACTTTCTGTCGCTGGTTCATGGTTAACTGCATGTTATAATCTTATCACAAGGCAAGATATTTGCCGTGCAATGCCGCCAAGGGGCAACATAACAGCTAGGGTACAAGGATGGTATTATATTAGTGGTCTTACTACAGCGTATTGAAGTCAAGCAGAGCGTCTACAGGCATGCGCCACCGGACCAATCAGATAGTGGAAGGCGATTTCTGACTCATCCGCCTGGCGTAGGAGAGTGCTACTCTTGGTCGCAGCTTGTGCGTCCACACGTGCACTGCATACGGGCAGATCCATAGCATAGCTTGGAAAATAGTCGCCAGGGCTGCGTACGTGCGAATCAGTAATAATTGCTTTTAACACTTCCTGCATTTGAACTAAGTTTTGTAATGTGAAACGAGGTTTCAACTGCCACGGAACCGTTTGCGCTCTTTTTCGGCCGGATCCTAAAGAGACTAGAGGAGATGGGCTTGACATGAGGACTGTGGGTTCTTGTCTTGGTTTTGGGAAATCGAATGTGTTCAGTAGTAGTTCAAAGGAAGATTTTGGGCTTTCGTTTAGCACGTCAGTACATTCAAGTGCTTCAGTGGAGTGGTCTGGCGAACTCGACTGATATGACTTGCCCCCTATTAGCGCTTGCCACATTTTCGAAACAATTAACTCTGCCGAAGAGTAGCCGTAAACAGGTTATGTATGCGTGAACAACGATAAGATAATTCCGACCATTGAGCGAGACTGCATAATGGATGTGGACCCTGGATCATGGTGCTTGTCGAACAGGTCATGCTTTGAGTGTGGCCTCTTTTGGCGTCTTTGATGCGAGACCACATTTCCTGCGGTCAGTTGGCAGCTCCAAAGGATCGGGTCCCTTGAGCCAGTAAAGGCCAATAAAGTTAAATTTAAGACGGTTGAATGGACAGCAAAGAGCGGAGCGCCAGCCACCACACTGCCAGTATGCTGTTGGTGGTTTTTTGGGTGTGGAGCCCTGGGAATTGTGTGAGATCATCTATTTCATGCGCGTGACAACACGAACGCTGGTGGTAGCAAGCGAGTGACTAAGATGCTTTAGGAGAACAGAATCATGCTTAAGACCTGAAGACGCTGAACTCTGCAGTTAATATGCGAATGGTTAACGATGCATTTGTTATGTAGTCCATTTAAAAATAATTATGCATATGCATTTAATATGAGAAGTCAATTTTCACATATAAGTACTCTTGCATGCTGTCGAAAACAGGTTGCTTGAAAACTCTAAAACTGGCATGAATGAAATAAGCCACAATTTATTTAGTTAAAAAACCCATATTCTGTAATGTTTTGGTGCCCCAAACGCATTTTTAAATTTCGGGTGACATTAGATGTCATAGGGTATCATATGTATATGCTTTAGAGCAAACGTGGCTGTTGTAGGTGTAATTAGAACTGGTCATAGTTTTGGTACATAAACCACTATCCTTGTATCGGGGCGTATCCAAAATAATAAGGGAATACTTTCCAGCATGGCAGAGAAGAGGTAAAGTCAGGAACATACGCACCTCTATTCTGGTGCACATTATTGACGCCGGACGTCGTGAAGACCAAAACGAAGTACAGGGGGATTCTCAAAAGACGTTGACGAAGAGTTCCACTGTCGAACGATGCTTTGGGAGAAGAACGATTACCATTGTTATGTGCGGCTCAGTCTCGTCTGTAACTGACAATAATGTTCTCTGAAGTTCCTTTTTGGGGCCGTTTGAAAGAGAACCTACCACTCGACATTCAGATAAATTCCCATTGGTAACTGAAAAGCTGCTATAAGATAAAGTCTGTCTTTTCGATGGTCTAGCGGCTCAAAGGAGTAGGCGCTGCCCTTATATCAACTATTTAAATTCAGGGACTGTCTAAGTAGCACGCATACCGACACGATCAAGAACCCTTATATTATGCCAAGGCCCGGACTGCCAAACCACGACTGCCAAGCCACGACCGCCAAGCCCGTACCGCATATTTCAGGTGCGGCCGTACAAATGCTCCATAAGCGTTTCCGAAGGTATCTAAATTCAAGTTAACAAACGTTCTTTATCTGGAGCTCATTGTCGACATTGCTCTCATGGTGGCTTTGAAGCACTCTGTTGTGAAAATTAGGTCGTCTTTACTTAGAATGTGAATGTGCATTTGCTAACTCACGGTTTCAAGTGGTTCGTCTGCCAATACATATTTTCGTGAGAATGCATTTCTGCGGCTTCTTGTCGATCAAGTTTGCATTTTTTGGGACTGAAATTCAAGCACAAATTCTTGCTTCATGTTTTCGTCTAGTCCAGGGGTCGGCAACCTTTATAATATAGAGAGCCAAGAAAGCAAATATTTGGAAATATATTCAAAAAAGAGCCATATGGTATATTTTAAAATGAATTCTATTAAATGCGAGTATAATAAGCCTCTGAATTTATTCTTTTAAACAATGTTCTTATAATACTCATCGTTAATATGAATTCTGGCGTTGCATGGATTCGCTGAGGGTTTTACCGTCTGGTCGATAGTTGGTGATGTTTAACTTCGTGAAAGCGTTGAGGCTTTCATCCGTTAACGTAATCTTATTGTGGACTTGATGTATCTAAGATGTGAGAATGACTGCTCACATAC